TAGGAGCATGAAATAACTCTGGTCTTGTCTTTGTAATTGCTTCTTTCCTTGTATCGCTTTCCTGGTTCTTTTCTCAACTACTTCCTTGTTGGCTTACACTCCTCCCTCCTCTCCCACAGAGATATTTGGTGGTAGATGTATCTTTTCAACCGTGTGACAGGAGACCAGCAGGAGCCCTCTTCCTAACCCCAGCACCTCTGACTGACAGCTCCGGAAGCTTATGGGGAGGTGTGGGGTATATACTGTAGCGATATAATTCCTACAGTAGCATGTTATGCCACTTTGGCCCTCTTTAGAGATACAGGAGAAAAAACTATATGTCTTCACTATTTATCAGTCCTAAAACGACCAGTGTGAATGGGTTGGTGACTTAACTTCTCTGTTAGTCAGACTTCTGGTAATATTATGATCCTATTTCGTTTTCATTTTGTTTGTGTTCCTACTACAGGATCTGGTCAGATATATAGAGATGTTTGAGCTTTGTCCAAATGTTGTAAAAACAAAACACGAATAAATTAATATTGAAAAGTAATTAAACTCCATGTTTCTCCTGCTGTTAAGGCAGAAGCAGTGGAAAACCACAGACTGTCCCGAGCAATGTCATTGGTCTCCATCCCCTATCAGAGAGCTGCACCCAGGGAAGCAAGGAGTGCGAAAAGAGGAACCTTGTTAAAGGTCAGGCATGATGGCACAGCTCTTTTAATTCACAGCTTTTCTTCTCACATCTCACAGGGAATGGGTTGTGCAACTGTGGCAACTGCGAGTGCTGGGACGGCTGGAACGGGAACGCTTGTGAAATCTGGGTGGGAGAAGAATACTGAGGCCAACAGAGAACAGGACACTGGGTTCAGAGAATTGAGACCTGGCTGCCCAGTGTGACCAGGAGCACCACGAGTCACGACCAAGCTGGTGAAACGCCAAGTTATCGAAACCACGGGGAGGAGAAAGGAAGACTAAACATGGATGTAGCTCTGCATTTCACAAACAGCATTCATTGTTTTATTGTACTGGTTACAAACTATCCTTTTAAAACTGGGTTTTGTAGACGAAAAGAAACAGCCATAGCTCTGTGCTTAAATCATATTACAATGTAAACATTTATGTTTTCAAAGCAGCTTTTTTTTTTGGATATTGTAGGAATGCTTACATATTTCAAATGGCTATATATAATAGGATGCAAGTACATGACAGTTTCAAATGCTGGAGAGAGGATAAAATGTATTATTAAGATGACTTTGTAGTAATATGTTTGATACTGTGGTCTGTTTTTACTGGTAAATGGTCTGCCCTTCCCACACTGGACTGAAAGTTTACTCGAAAGCTCGAGGCATAGGTTACGCTGAGGTTTTTATTTCTTTTTCATAATAAAACATTAAATGTGCCGCATGACACAACATTTTGCATGGAAAACAATGCAAAGACCTTAATCATACATGGTTACAAATTTGTTATAACATGACATAACTCCAATGGGCATACTTGCAATGGTATATATAGAGAGAGATATATTAGAAAATAAATCATTTTAATAGTGCCTACTCTCCTCCGTCAAACAAACGGTCTGCCCTGAAACCTTTACTGTCTTAGTAGTGGTTAAATTCTAAGTGGAAGAAACAAAGAGAAGGGAATAAATAGTTCAGTTGTGGCATGCTGGATGTCCATGTCACTTCAAATGGTGGTATCAGGGGATGAGAGCTGCACTGACACAAGAGCTCAGTCACCACTTGAAAAAAGGACCGATAAGAAGTCACAAAGAAAATTTAATGTAAATTCTACTTTGGCCTTTTTCATGCTTAAACTAGCCAATCCCCTCTGTTTTCTTTGTCCCCGAAAAATGACAGGTGCAATAATATACTGCACACTATATTGCATTAAGTATGTTACTGACTTTACAGTATACCTTTATATAAATATTTTTTATTCAATATGTTGTATAATGTGTATACAACAAACACAAACTGTATAGTGTAGACAAACTCGTTGCATATATGTAAAATTAGCGGTACATACCAACAGTTCTTGATTGACATAGCCTACTACATGCAGTTCATCAATGCCATCCTCTCCCCATGCAGATGGGACAACATACAAAATAAGAGGTTCGAAAACAGAAGCAAGGATATTCTCGTAACACATTTGAACAAATGGGGTAACAAAGCAAAAACGCGATTGGGATCTGGAGACGAAATCGACACACAACCCGTATACGAGAGAGATGAGGATGAACAAAACAAATGGCGGCTACAGCAATCCAAACAGATGTACTTGTACACACTGGTCATTTACAAAAATAAAGCCAGCCTTGAAGGAGCCAGTTAACTGGGCTGCAGGGCTGGGGCAGTCACCAGCCCAGCATGTAGAGTTTTGTAAGAGCGGAGGATGACAGTGGTTTCCAGCTCCTGTGTGTGTGTATATGACGCCATTTTTAGGATTAACAGCTTTGTACAGACAAATATTGATATCTATATGATGTGCTTTGATGTGTTGTAATAAGAAATGGCCATGTATAATCCCAATAAACTCAGAAAAATGATATTTACCAAATCAAGTTCTTAATATAGTTGCACTTTTAGCAGCATACGGCAGCAACGATCTACTTAATGTTCTAAATCTTACTTAACTAAACTATTAGGAAAAGAAAAACCAGTAATGCAAGACGAACATAAATACACTGATCACACAGAGCTTTGATAAACTGCTAACAGTCATGATGAAAATGCAAAACCAAAGTGCAGTGAGTGTGCCGCAGCCGTGATACATGCCTGTTCAACTCCTACACTGAACTTCAGTGCTCATCCATTTGCACATAGTGAAGAACAATGCCCATACCTTACTCCTTGTAGAAAATACATGCATGTGATTATTCAAGGTATATGTACTTTTCCAAAGTGACATCAGTCAAGACCTTTGTGGATCTGAGCAGAGTTGATTATTCCGGACAGAACAAATGCTATCACAGTGAAAGCTTCCGTGAATTGAATCAGAAAGAGAATCGAGATTTGTTTTCTTTCTTTCTGTTTTTTTTTTTTTTAAAGAATCAGTTCAGTGGGATGAAAAAAAGACTTTGGTCATTTCAGAATGGATACATCTGAGTGTGTTTTTTTCAGTGAATAATGCTACGTGTCGTCTACATGGATGTATAGGGTGGGTGAGGCACCTTTGGCCCAGTGGGGACTGGGAACTTGTTTTTGCATGCCGGGAATCAAGGTCCAAACAGGCACGTGATAGGCCAAGATGATCAGAACTGGACTCTGCATGCTGAGCTAGAAGACAAATTCTCTCATTATAATAATAATATCTAGTCTTTTAAAAAGTTATGATTTTTAATAGTCATTTTCCCTAAGTTTTATACAGTGAAAATGTTATAATATAAGCCATCTCTTGTATATCTGCTGCAAGAAGAGAGAACACAATATTAACCTTGTCCATGCTTTAGCTTGCTGAACCAAATAGGGATGCAGCCAGTGTAAATGTCACCTACTGGTTTTCAGCCATGTTGTTTTCTGGCTTTATGTAGACACTGCTGTAAGGTGGCTGCCAGTGCTGCAGTTATAGACCATCTGGGTCAAAGCCACAAGCCTTGCCTCATAGTCCAAAGAAGTCGGTGAGTGAGGGACAGAGGCCTACAAGGCCTAGAGATATTCCTAGAGCCCACGCTCTGAAATAAGATTAAAGAAAAATAGACTTCAGATTTTCTATTTACCAGAGAAGGCGGACAGAACCGCTGGTGGGACCTAGATAGTGATATGTATACACCATTCCTTACAGCGCTCTCCCACCCACACACACATCTGTTTATAAATGTGTATGTGTGTTTGTATGTGTGTAGGGAGCTCCTCGCATTGATTGCAGTGGCGGTAATTAGCACTTCATCAGCTATGATTGCAGGAGCTATTTGCCAGCCTCCAGCGTGTTTTATTGGCTGTTTAAAAAAAAAATCTCAGATTTTCAACACAAACTTTGTGTGTCTGTCTATTAGAGTGTGTGCATATTGTAGGCAAGAAGAAAATTTGGACTCTTTTCCACATGTCTTTGCTTTTTATGCCACATTTGTGTTCATGTGTTTCTTAGAAAATCACGCAACCCCCTTGCAAAATGTTTTCTAGGTTACTTGACAAAGAGAAAAGTGTGACTAAAGATAGAAATAAAGGGAGAGGGGGACGCACTTGTAAAAAATAGAGGACAACAGTCCAAATAGTTACTCTATCTATACAGTCTCTATCCCAGAACATAGCTGGTGAACTGTGGTATAGAAAATAGATCTGAAGGTACACAGACTCTGCTGCAACAGGGCATCATAGACAAGGGGGAGGTTTTTAGGGGGAATCATCATCAAGCAAAGTACCAGAAGCGTCATTGTGAAACGCACGTCCCTCCTGGGCTGGATGAAGTCGGCCACCTCAGGAATCCATCTGCCTGTGCTGAGGCAGCTGGAGAATTTGGGAGAATGAGGTGGAGAAAAAGGAGGAGCGAGAGAAGAAAGAAAGGGAGGTTCGCCTGGATCTGCAGAAGGGTCTGGAGTCTAGTTGGATAAAGCCCTGTCTCCGTTGCATTCCTCCCCTCCAACACATGCACATACACTAGGCACTGGTGTGGCTATGTGGTGGGTTTGTCGGGCTTGCTGACGGGTTTCCCTCCGTTCATCACTGCCGGCTCACTTGTGCTTTTACTGGGAGGTACTGCTGCCTTGGGCACTGTCTCTCCAACATCATGCAAAGATGGCTCTCTGTACATGGCAACTGTCAGGGGTGAAAAATTAAGGAGAGAAAACAGAGAGAGTTTACACATTGAAAATTACTGAAGCAGCATTTATCCCCTATTCTTGTTCTTCAGTCCTAACATGTGGTAAAAACACAAAAATTCCTCAAATTCTCACACATTGAAGACAATAGGCAAAAAAAAATACGTGTTTTGATTAACTGGGCTTTGCACTGACTCACTTTTTTTTCCCATTTATCTGGGCTGATGGAGACACAAGACACAATCTAAACACAAAGACTTTTTGACAAAGCTGCAAAGGAGTCTCATTATCCCCCACTTTACAGCCACTACACTACAGCTGTAAGGGTGCCTTGACAGGACACTTCAACTTGATTCTCTGCTTAAATAATTCGAAGCAATCAGGCTGGTGGCTGACAAGATTGATGGTGGCATCTGCTGGACTATCAACATTTCATGCTGCACTTACAGAACAGCCCTGCCTCCTATGCTCCATGCTTATAGGAGCAAAAGAATGAATCAGCACACAAATACAAAAGCATATCAAACATATACTATATTCTATACAGTTACATAGTTATACAATTGGTATACTACTTGTCATGTAGTATGATGCAGCAGTTGTCAAGCACATTATGTTAGTTTTGGGTGTTTTTACATCCATACATGCATAATCGTCTTTTCTGTATGTCTGCTACATACCTTCTAATGGCTTGGGCAGGAAGTGAGCAGCTGGTTTTGTTTTTTTCACTCGGTTCCCTTTCATGGCTTGGCCTTCTTTATTGAGCCCTAAGAACCAAGCTCTTCCCGATTCCTGTTGTCTGTACAACATGGACGAGTAGATCACATAGTAGTTCTCGAACACCGACTCTTTGAACTTGCATTCTGCTGTAAAGAGTTCCTGCGGAGAGACAAAAGTGGAGGAGACAGATTTTAAACAATGCTTTTGTTTTGTTTTGTGTTTACTAGAAAAAAAATGAATATGATACTTCACGAGGCTATAATCTGCACGGGGAGACATTAAAGCAGGCTTAAAGCGATGATTCATGGTTCACATTGTGTAAGAATAAAAAAGATGTCATAATTTATATTTAATGTTGAATGCGGGTCACCGGGACAAGTGTCATCTTTATTTCAAACTCGCATTGTGCAGAATAATGTGAAACCACCCAACTAGTTAAAATGAACTTCACACTTCTGCCTGTCTTGAAAAGGATGAGCACTGCAGAGCCTCAGTCGGTGTAAGCATGCCTGATTCAGGCTGAGCCTGACGATGCAACTCTCATTCTCTCCTTGGCCTTAACCTTGACATCTGATGTTAGAGCACTCGTTTAGTCAATTAGCTCATGTTCCTGGCAGAAAGTATAGTATATTGTTAGACTGTGACCCTAGGACCACCACGCCTCACCCCAGATGCCAAGCCATACTTCGCTAGTTTCTCAATGTTTTTAATTGGCAAAATCCAAAGGGGCTCATTTTCCCCCACATATTATATCTGCTTTAAGCAATTTCTCTATGACTGTATTCTGGACTTTGTTAAAATAATGATAGAGCTAATCAAGTGATTCTTTCATCCTTTACACCTCAATCTGGCTATGACAAATGAAGACAGAGGCACCACATCTCTTTCTGCTGTTACCTATTCATCTCCAGCCAGAAGGGTAATAAAAACGTTTTTTACACTGTCTGCCCCAGCAAGCTAAAAATAAAGGCATTCAATGGGGTATATTAATCAAAGCGTACAAAGGAGACATCCACCACATCTGTTGTGAGCTGTTCACCCTGAATTGGTTCATAAAACCACAGAAAGTGTCATACTGCTGTGGTTCTCAATGTCTGGAGTCAGTGACAATATTCTTTAGAGATCACTATAAGGAGTACCTTCTCAGCTAGAAATACGTAAAGTCTTCAGTATAATGGTTGTGTTATATGCAATATCATCACCTAACCACTGCGAACTAATTTCTATGCTAATCAATGTAAAACTAAACACACAAACATCTTTATGAAAGCGAGTCTTTGATGACTGTTTATCTATTTTTCCGCACCCCTTTGATTCTATGCTAATCTTCAGTAGATATAACAGTGATTATGTTCACAGTTGTTCAATGTGTCAGCATGCTAATAATAATTATCCTGTTGCAGGCATTTCTTCATAAACCAGTGTAAAATATTGATCTGACAATGGTGCTTCATGAAAGGTTAGGGGATCTTTGGGGACTGTTCTCTGACACACACACACAGACACACACACACACGCACAAAAGAGGAAAGAAAAGAAAGGTCATTTCTGCACATTCTGTGCAGTACTATGCAAAAGTCTTGATTCACGCTTCATCAGGGAAATAGCTGCAGCAATTTATTAAAACATCTGCAGCCATACACGGTAATACAATATATTAGGCGAAAGCAGAGTTTGTACAATTCTAAAATGCTGGAAAGTCAATAGTTGTTGTGGCTACCTTTATTTTTCTGCACAGCCTGAACTCTCTTGAACTCTCTTAGTCAAGCTCTGGAGTAGTTTTCAGGAATAGTTCTCCAAGCTTCTTAAAAGACATTCAAAACTCTTCTTTGCATATTTTTTGTCTTTTGTTCTGTTCTCTGTCAAGGTGATCCCACACGTTGTGGTCTGGGCTCTGGGGAGGCCAATCCATGACTGACAGTGTTCTGTTGTGTGTTTTTCCTATCCAGACATGCTTTTACTGCACTGGGATCATTGTCGTAATGCAAAATTAAGCCATTGCCAATCAGGCATTTTCCTGATGGTATTGCATAGCGGATCACAATATGACTAAAACCAGGATAGAGCTTTCACTGTGTTTTACATGCATTGTTGTACCTCTCTCCTGACCTAGTCTATACATACTGTACTGACAATGACTTGAATCAGAAAT